GGGAGAAGCAGGCTCCCTGTGGAGCAGGGAGCCCGATGTGGGGATCGATCCCAGGACCCTGAGATCATGACCTGAGCTGAAGGCAGACGCTTAACGACTGAGCCACCCAGGCGCCCCTATACTGGTATTTTCACCAGTGTGTCTCATGGGCACAAATGCAACAAAATCTAAAACTGAATTATCTCTCACAGGGGCGCCTGGGTGGCTCAGTCGTTAAGCGACTGCCTTCGGCTCAGGTCCTGATCCCAGGATCCTGGGATCGAGTCCCTCATTGGGTTCCTCAGCAGGAAGCCTGCTTCTCCCTCTCCCACTCCCCCTGCTTGTGTTCCCTCTCTTGCTGTGTCTCTCTCTGTTAAATAAATAAATAAAATCTTTTTGAATTATCTCTTACAACAATTTAGCGGTATTTCAGAGAAATAGAAGCTTAGCTTTTTGAGGAAATGATGTTGAGATGGCAGCTAACCCTTTGGAAGGAAAAATTTTACATTAGAAAACATTCCAGGAGGCTAAAGATCTGAACATAATTTAGTCACAAAAAAGATTGAATATTTTTGCAGGTGAACAAGGGAGGCTTTGAAGGTTTTAAGTAGGGGAATGACACGGTCTGATGTTGTAGAGGGACCACTCTAGCTATTATAAGCGTAGAGACTTGGGAGACTATATCAATCGAGGGCATTCCATTGTTGCTGCTAGGAAGAGAGCAGTCCTGTCTTTTCCTGCTTTTCAGATCTTCTCTTTGTTTTGTTATTGTTTTTCTCTCTTTGTTTTTGATGTGCTGCAATTTCATTATGGTATGTTTAGGCATGGATATATATAAATATATATATATTTAATGTTATTTGGGGTTTTTTGTTTGTGGGGATGGATATGTTTTTATGTACTCCAACTTGGGATTTGATGAGCTCAGTGAATCTGAAGTGTGTTGTTTCCCAATAATTCTGGAAAATATTCTGAGGGTCTCTTTCTTACATTCTCTATTATTTCCCTATGAGACTTCACTTAGACATATAGGAGGCTTTCTCTCTCTATCCATCATATCTCTTATCTTTTCTTTCAAATATTCCATCTCTTCTAATCTCTGGGCTGCATTGTGAATATTTTTTTCACTTCTATCTTCCATTTTGCTTAAATGTGTGATAAGTATTGTTTATTCTTCAAGTGTGTCAAATCTATTGTTTATTCATTTTTAATTAAGTTTTAAATTTCAATCATTTTAGTTTTCACATCTGGAAGTTTTATTGTTTTTTTCAAATCTTGACCAGTCCTTAGATTATGTTGCTCCTTGTCTATATGTTCAAGATTCTTTTTTAAAAATTTCTGTAGGGGGGGCGCCTGGGTGGCTCAGTCGTTAAGTGTCTGCCTTCGGCTCAGGTCATGATCTCAGGATCCTGGGATCGAGCCCCGCATCGGGCTCCCTGCTCCGCGGGAAGCCTGCTTCTCCCTCTCCCACTCCCCCTGCTTGTGTTCCCTCTCTCGCTGTGTCTCTCTCTGTCAAATAAATAAATAAAATCTTTTAAAAATTTTCTGTAAACATGTTTTATGAATATTCATTTTTTAATTGTGGTAAAATATACGTAACATAAAATTTACTATCTTAACCATTTTAAAAAGATTTATTTATTTATTTGAAAGAGAGAAAGTGTGTGAGCAGGGGGACGGGCAGAGGGAGAAGGAGAGACAGTCCTTAAGCAGACTCCAAGATGAGCGCAAAGCCCAACTCGGGGCTCGATCCCAGGACCCCGAGAAGTGTGCACGGAGCTGAAATCAAGAGTTGGATACCCAACTGTCTGAGCCACCCAGTTGTCTCTTAGCTATTTTTAAGTATACAGTTCAGTAGTATTAATTCACATTGTTGTGCAAGCAAGGTCCAGAACTCTTTCCATCTTGTAAAACTGACAAATATTTATTTTTAAATAATAAGACCACAAAAAATACTTGAAAAAACTAGGTGAATATTTATATAATCTTGAGATGTTGAGTGACTTTTTAAGCATTGTACCAAAGTCTGAAACCATAAAGATTTGGATATAAAGAAATGTGAAACTTCTACTTCAAAATACCATGAAAATCAAGACAAATGAAAAAATGGGGGAAATTCTTGAAAAAGTATGTGACTGGGGTGCCTGGGTGGCCCAGTTGGTTAAGCATCTTCCTTCAGCTCAGGTCGTGATCTCAGGGTCCAGGGATTGAGCCCCACGTTGGGCTTCCTGCTCAGCGGGGAGTCTGCTTCTCCCTCTGCCCCTCACCCTGCTTGTGCTCTCTCTCTTACACTCTCTCTCTCAAATAAATAAAAAAATCTTTAAAAAAGTATGTGACAAAGGATTAATAGCTTTCATATGTAAAGAGTGATTTCAAATCAATAGGAAAAAACTTTCAGTAGGAAAACTGATTATGGAAATGAACAATTTATAAAAGAAGGAATACAAATGCTGAGCCACAGAAGTAATCAAGGAAAGTGAATTAAAAGAGCAATGAAGGGCGCCTGGGTAGCTCAGTCGTTGGGCATCTGCCTTCAGCTGGGGTCATGATCCCAGGGTCCTGGGATCGAACCCTGCATCGGGCTCCCTGCTCCACAGGAAGCCTGCTTCTCCCTCTCTCTCTCTCCCTCCTATGATCCCTCTCTCTCTGTCAAATAAATAAATAAAATCTTAAAAAAAAAGAGCAATGAAATTAATATTTCTTATCTATCAGACGGACAAAAAATGAATAAGAATATTATCCAGGGAAGGCTGGGTGGCTCAGTCAGTTAAGTGTCTGCCTTCCACTCGGTCATGATCCCAGGGTCCTGGATGGAGCCCCACGTCGGGCTCCTTGCTCAGCAGGGAGCCTGCTTCTCTCTCTGCCTGCCGGTCCCCCTGCTTGTGCTCTCTCTCTCTCTGACAAATAAATAAATAAAATCTTAAAAAAAAAAATATCCAATCCCAGCAGGGTTAATGGGGGAAGTGAGCCTTGTTAGTAACTGCTGACTAGAATGAAAATGGTAACGCCTTCTGGAAGTCAATGTAGACTGTGTCAAAAATGTAAAAATGTGTGCTTTGTTACTCAATAATTACAACTTCAGGAATGTATCCTAAGGAAAATATCGAACAATTGTGCAAATATGTGTGAGGTATTGTTACTTATAATAGTAAAGGGTTTTAAAAATATAATATCCAGAGTGTTGATTAAACTATCCACCAGTGGACTACTGTTACTACAATTGTAGGTATTAATTAACATGAAAAGAGATTCATGATGTATTGGTAAGTGGAAAAACATAGGTCACCAACCACATCATACATAACGTACACACAAAACATCCCATTCTTGTCCAATACATACATATATTTGCTTGGGTGCGTTTGAGTTTGGAAGAACAGACACCAAAATGTTAACGGCCATTATCTTTAGCCTACAGGATTCTGTTTTATTCTTTTATTACTGTTATTGTTCTGTCTGTATGTTCTCTCCCCGCTCAAAGAACAGCTATTACTTCCATAATTGTAAGTTAATTTATCGCTGGGCAGTAAAGAAGTAGCGTTTATCAAAAGTGCCTGTCCAAGCATAAGAGTAACCATTTTCCGACCAAGCACGCAGGGTCACAGGTTCCAGCGGCGGCTCCCACGTGCGTGTGTCGCGAGGGAGGTCAAGGTCCGCCGCGGCCCCCTCTCAGGCAGCGCCGAGGCCACCCCAGGCAGCCCGCGGGTCCTCGCGGGGGGGGGCGGAGCACGCCAGCCCGGAAGAGACGCCGCGGCGCGCCGCGCATGCCCCTTCCTTTCCAGCTCCGGCCCCGGACGTAGCAGCCGCCGAGGTGAGTTTCTCCTCGGTCCGGGTTGCATCGGCGTCCATCCTGGCTCTCCAGCTGTCGTAGTCGCCGCTCCTCCCCGGGGTCGGGGCGGGGGAGCCACTCTCCCGCTCCCCGCACGCCCATTTCTGAGTAGTGAGGGGCCGGGGGCGCACTTCGGTGGGTAGTAGGGTGCTGGTAGAAGATTGGCGGCCCGTTGGCAGAGGCCGAGGAGGGGAGGATTGAAGCCCTTGTGTCGCGGCGACTCTTTCGGCGAGGTTAGGGAGACTGCGCCCCGCTTGCTCGCTTTTGTTTCGATACGGAATCTCTCACCCCGGGCCGCCTCCTTGCCTGGCCCTGGAGTTCTAGTTTGGGGGAAGAGTGGCAGGAGATGAGGGTGCGAAGGTTTTGGCCCTTTGGTTTGGGGTCAGCGGCCTGTCAAGAAGGGAGGGCTCTCCTCCAGGCCCTCCTTGCGTCCCTCAAAGTATGCCGCGCCATTCCGCGCAGGGTAGCGTTGCTGCTATGCCCCCCAGTGCTCCGGGAATACGGGGTTTGCGGTCCCCCGCCCCCACGTTACACTTCTGTGGGTGTGAGAACGAAGTCTGGAGCGAACAGTAACCCTGCTCCTGTTTTGGTTAAACATCATGGCAACTTCTCAAGCGCCTTTGCGGGATGGAGGAAGGTAACTGGCGGCTTTCAGTTTTGCAGGGTTTGAAGTTCTCCCTGCATGTTTTCTACGGTGTGGTTTGAGGTTTCAGCCCATTGGACAGTGATTCTGTGGGGTTCGTTCTGGGGTCCTGAACTTGGTTGCTGGACCCTGGCTCTATTGCTCAGAAATGCTCTTGATGATGCGCTTCCTTCCAGATGTTGATGCCCAAGAAGAACCGAATTGCCATTTATGAACTCCTTTTCAAGGAGGGAGTGATGGTGGCCAAGAAGGATGTCCACATGCCCAAACACCCTGAGCTGGCAGACAAGAATGTGCCCAACCTTCACGTCATGAAGGCCATGCAGGTAGCCTGGGGGCTGCTCGAGTGGGGTGCAGATGGAGGGATTTTCCACTAAATGTCCGAGGCAGATTCCAAGGAGAGGTCAGGACAGCCAGAGCTGCTTGCTGCCTTGAAGGGCGCTGAGGTAGATACACCGTGAAAACTTGTCTATGCAATTTAGCTGCCTTTTGCACCGAATTTCTAGATTCGAGCCTCTGGTTACGTCTTGACAGTCGTGTTCTGTCTTCCAGTCTCTCAAATCACGAGGCTACGTAAAGGAACAGTTTGCCTGGAGACATTTCTACTGGTACCTTACCAACGAGGGCATCCAGTATCTCCGTGATTATCTCCACCTGCCCCCCGAGATTGTGCCTGCCACTCTGCGCCGAAGCCGCCCTGAGACTGGCCGACCACGGCCCAAAGGTATGTTGCCCAGATGAAGGCCTGCTCTGAAGCTGTTCTTTCTCTGGGGAAGGGTATCCGTGAAAACGGGGGGATCAGACAGAAGAGGCCTCACAATACACCATTGGTGTCCGCTTTTAGAGGGGGCTCTGGCATGCAGGACCTGGGCCAAGTCCTGGGACCTTTGTCCCCTCGCATGGGAGTTGTCATGGAACCACAATCAGGTCAGGTCTTCAGGCCATCCTGGGAGATGCCATTAAATACACAATATAGTCTGCGTCCAGGCACATGTGGTTGAGCATTGAGTAACTTTTACAGGACGGAGCAAAGCTGTTTACCACATGTGAAAGAAATGGAGTGTTTAACTCTAGAGTTTCTTGGCAACGAGAGCAAAAATAATCAAAAGTCAAATAGGGGAGAAAGGATGTGCTTGTGGCGGGGGGATGGTGAATTACCTTCTGGCTGGAGATCATGGCTGGCTCACAGTTGCAGTTTGTCAAGGTTATGGTTCTCTTTCCTTTGGTTCTGAAAGAACTTGTCACAGGAACTTTGTAGGAAGAGCAGTTTGTGGACTTGGGTGATGAGGTGCAGAGATTGCTAAAAACAGACAATCACCGGACTGTCCGGGTTCTCCTGGAGAGAGGCTTGGTAGCACTCCGGAGTCTGAATTTTTTATGATTGCTTCCTAGGGGATTCTGGTGGTTGGGTGTATCTGTAGAGCAAAGGTTCTCCACTGCATCTTGGGAATCCCTCGTGGGGGGTGGGATTCCATTGTCTGCGCCCTCACAGATTCTGATTTGGTTGGCATAGATGGGACCTAGCATTTATTTTAGCCACTCAGTACAGGTTCAGTTTAACTTCTCATACTTAAAAAAATATATAGTTGGCCCTTGGAACAGCTTAGCAGTCGAGGCACCTGTGTCGTCATTGTCCCCATCCCCAACCCTACCCCTACCCCCACCCCCATAGTCTAAAATCCATGTGTAACTTTTTTGAAAACTATTAACAGCCTGTTGACCAGAAGTCTTACTGATAACAAATGGTCGATTGATATTTTTACAATGAAGAAAATATTAAGAAAGTCTTAAGTAAATATATTTGCTCTGCTACTATACAGTAGTTAATTGAAAAAGGAATCGTGAACCCATGGAGTTCAAACCTGTGTTCAAGATCAACTACAGTCTATATTTAATCATGTAGACTCGAAGTAAAGTTCCAGGGTAACTAGGTAGAATACCAGATTAAACTTCCAGTGTTTATGAGAATGTTTTAAAAGCTTTAGTCTGCTTTCATATATATATCCCACAGCCTAGTGAGGTGTGTGGAGAAGCCCAGGGCAACTAAAGGACTCTTGTTGGCCTCTGTATTTGTACACTGACTGCTGGAGGTGGGGCTTTCAGCTTATGGTGCCTCCTTTCCTGTTTGCACAGGAGATTTTTCACTTCAGAGATGGGTCAAGTTCAAAATTTTGGCTATTCAGGTGTTTGTAGAAATGGTTGGATTACTTAATTTGCCGAGTAATTGGAAAATATGTATCTGTGTTGAGAAATACAATAGAAAAAAGCAATCCTTTTGCAGATGGGTAGCATTTTTTTTTTTTTTTTAAGATTTTATTTATTTGACAGAGACACAGCGAGAGAGAGAAAGCAGGAGGAATAGGAGAGGGAGAAGCAGGCTTCCCGCCGGGCAGGGAGCCCAATGCGGGGCTCGATCCCAGGACCCTGAGATCGTGACCTGAGCCGAAGGCAGATGCTTAATGACTGAGCCACCCAGGCGCCCCGATGGGTAGCATTTTAATTGAGTGTTCTCCTAGACTTTTAAGAAGCCAGTGTCAGTGATGACAAAATTTCTAGCTGACAGCTCTGGGTCCAAGAGTTCTGTCCCCTTTATCCCATCATAACTAATTTGCTGCCAGTGAGAATAGGAGAGCAATTCCCACTTTTCTTGGCCCGAAGGGAACAGAGTTCCCACATTGCCCTACATTCACAGTGTGGTTTAATTTGTATAGGTCTGGAGGGAGAGCGACCTGCAAGACTCACACGAGGGGAAGCTGACAGAGACACCTACAGACGAAGCGCTGTGCCCCGTGAGTAATTCGTCATCTCTGTCAGGGGCGTTGGGGGAGAATCTCTGGATTCTCAGTCACCCTGGCTGGGGCTCAGCCCTTGAAAGTGCCAGAGTGACAGGAAAGATTCTTGGTCTCAATCTTCAGGTCATCTTTAGCTGGAGTCCTTTATGTTTCTTGCCTTGTACATGGATTTGATGGATGGGATTAGGAGAAAAGCCCTCTTCACCGGGGACACAGAAGACCTTGAACCAGGGCAAAATTGAAAACTTCTAAGAAAGTAACATGCCTTTCTTGGTTTTGTGGTTGTGTTCCTGTGTCGCAAGCTCCTTGAGGGCGCCCACTTAAATATCTTTGTTGTTTTCTTAAAAAATAGTTCAAAATCTTGTTTTTAAACAGCAGCTGTTTGCATTGACTTGGAATAACAGATGTTTGTTCGTTCGGTCAATATATATTATCTGACTTGCCAGGCATTGTTCTAGGAGCTAGAGAGACAGTAATGTGCATAACAGACAAAAGACCTTTCTCACTGAACTTGCGTTTTAGTAGTAGGAAACTGGTAAGCAAAAATGAGTATATAATATGTCCGTGGCCTGGGGTGCTACAGGGAAAGATGCAAGCAGGGGGATGCACAGTGCAATTTTCGGTGGGGTGTTCAGGGAAAGCTGCGTAAGTGGCGATTTAAGCAAACCCCTGAAGGAAGGAGTCAGCCAGTGGCTCTCTGAACCAGAAAACAGTAGGGGAGTCAGAAGATGGAGGTCTCATAGCTCTGTGGGCCATGGTAGGGCTTGGGTTTTTTGTTTTGGGGTTTTTGTTGTTGTTGTTTAAGATTTTATTTATTTGTCAGACAGAGAGAGAGCACAAGCAGGGGGAGCGGCAGGCAGAGGGAGAAGCAGGTTCCCAGCTGAGCTGGGAGCCTGATGCGGGGCTCCATCCCAGGACCCTGGGATCATGACCTGAGCCGAAAGCAGATGCTTAACTGACTGAGCCACCCAGGTGTCCCAGGGCTTGGGATTTTTTTAGAGAGTCCGTATCTTTGTTGAGAAGCAATTAATTGTGATAAGAAAGCAAAGTATTAAGGGTAATTTTCATCAACTTCTTCCACTCTAGCCTGTCGTCTTGTCATGGTTCCTGTTTCTTGAAACGTGAAATAGAAATGAGCACTTGACCTGAGTATGTTACCGGATTGTAAGAAAGAATTTTTCCAACAAACAGGCTCTCGGTTCAGAGAAAGTTAAGGGTTGCTTTTATTAGAAGTCACGCCACATGGGGAATCGTCAGGGAGTCGTTCTCTAGAGGATGTGAGGTTGGGCCTGAGCCCCAGGGGTCCCCAAGTTGAGTGGGGGGGATGAGCATTTCAGGCGAGAGCAGCCTGAACAAAGGTATAGAGTTGGAGACGTGGGTAGCTTGCTTGTCGGGGGGGCAGGGGAGTGAGGGGACAAGAGCCTAATGGTGGGTGTGGTCTGAAATGGGCCAAAGAGAGACCCCATTGAACAAGATTTACCAAGACTACTCCCTGATGGTGCAGTCACCACCTGCTCCCCCCACCCCGTGAACCGTAACATTTCCTAATGGCCACACCTAAAGCAAGTGGAAATAGTTTACAGCAATAATTTTTTAAATCCAGTATAGTTTATTGTATTATTATTTTTTAAGATTTTATTTTTAAGTGATCTACACCCAACATGGGGCTCAGGCCTACAACCCCAAGATCAAGAGTTGAATGCTCTACCAACTGAGCCAGCCAGGCATCCCAAATCCAATATATTTTTAAAATGTTATTAACATATAATCTTTATACACATTAATGAGATGTTTTGCATTCTCTTAAATCTTGACATCTTACATGTGTTTTGCACACGCCTCAGTTTGGACTAGTGGCTGCCATACAGGTCAGGGCAGCACTGGACCTTTCATCTTGTTCTTTACCGTGATCATGACTAGGTTGCTTTTTGCTTCTGTGGGCCTTTGTGTCTTTTATCTCTTCCTCTGTTAGCTAGATGCTGATCTGAAGCATGTAAGTAGCTCGATGGGAAGTGAGGGTCTTCTTGGGCCATAGAGAGGGGCACGTAATCCAGGCTTTGTGGTCTGGGCAGCCTTCCTGGCTGTGAGTTTGGAAGGATGACTTAAGGAAAGCTGCCCCAGGAGAGGGAGGGGGCAGAAGTGGTTCACAGGGTGTTTCCCACCACTGGGTGTAATTTACTTCTACTTCATGGGGTACGTTTGGTGACATGGCTTTTCGTGCAGCATTGGGCTGGAGACCTTGTCTTCCTTTGGTCTGTAATAGATCATAACATATGATGACTCTGCATTGGTGTTTCTCCTTCCAGCTGGTGCCGACAAGAAAGCTGAGGCTGGGGCTGGGTCAGCAACTGAGTTCCAGTTTGTGAGTATCCCTGTTGGCTCTCTATAGACAGTCATTGTTCTGGCCATGGCCCTGGGGGTCTGCAAATTCTAGGGATACGATACAGTGTGGTGGGTCCCACCCCTTGTTGGCAGTGGTTCCCCCCCCCCAAAAAAAATGAATTCCAAGAGTTTTTACATTAAGATACAGCATGCAAACTTTTGTAATTACGTAAATTACTGAAATGACTCCGCCAAATCAATATTACATGTGCATAGTGGTGGTTTCTTCATTAATGAGCATCATAATTGTGACTCCCTTAATTTCATGAACTAAGACTTAGGGTTAAGAACTACAAACTAGAGATTAAGCTCTAGAACCAAGATGGCTGGAGTCAGGTCCTTCATCTTTTTCAGATGGTTTGATATTGGGCACATACCCTCCGTGCCTCCGTTTCCTCATCCTTAAAATAGACGTTACAATTGTAGCTTTGTCAGGTACCTGTGAGATAAATCTAGGTAAAGTGCCTGGCACGGGGGCAGGCGTAGCACTGTTGCAGGAACGGCTGTCCTGTGGCAGGTCTGCACGGCACACAGGTGTTCTCTGTGGCCTCATTTGTGGAAAGGAGGTGTGTGTGGCAGGCACAAGGTCTTGGCCTGTGCTGGGAGTGCGCCCGTGTGTGTGCGTAAACACACTCTTGAGTGGGTATCCATATTCCCATTTTTCCGATGTGGAAACCAGCCTAGGAGGTGAACGTGGCCTCGTAGTAAGAGGCAGGGCTGGGATTTATGGCCTGAGCTCTTGAGCCTTACGTTCGGGGCCCTATCATGTTGTAGTGAGGCCCACTGCCCGGCGTGCTGCTATTGCTGATGATGTCTGTTTTCTCTTGCAGAGAGGCGGATTTGGTCGTGGACGTGGTCAGCCACCTCAGTAAAGTTGGAGATGTTTTGTGTTGAATAAATTCGTAGCCGGAAAAAAATTAATCTTGCGTGTCATGTTTGGTTTGCATTATGTGGCCTGAACAGGAATGATAGAAGGATCAGAATGTAAACAGGGCAAGACTGGATTTGGTTAAGGAGTTGTCCTCATGCAGGGTGGCCTCGCATGTGGCTGTTAGGGCTGCAGTACTTGGCTCCGGCGCAGGCCCTGTGTTCAGCACATGCTGCCCCGCAGAGTCCCGTCCAATGTGGTTACTGTTCTGGGGGATAGTTGGAGAGCGGGGCATGTTCACTAGGTGGGCCATGCTGATGAAGCTCTGCGGTACGGGAAGGTTGCTGCTTTTTTAACCCTGGAATTAAGTAGTCTCAACCGTCAAGGCTTAGGAGAAAACAGAATCAAGATTGCACAAATACCTCTGAAAAGGACTGCCAGCCATAGGAAGAACCCATGGGAGTTTTTTGTTTTTACATAATAGCTGGTTGGTTGGAGCTCTTGGCATCCGAGGGCTCCTTTTTATTTTTTTTTAAAGATTTTATTTATTCATTTGAGAGAGAGTGCACAAGTAGGGGGAGAGGGACAAGCAGACTCTCCGCTGAGCTGGGAGCCGGATGATCATGACCTGAGCCAGAGGCAGATGCTTAACCATCTGAACCACCCAGGCACCCCAGCCCAGGGCTCCTTTAAAAGGAGGAAACAGGGGCACCTGGGTGGCTCAGTCGTTAAGCGTCTGCCTTTGGCTCAGGTCATGATCCCGGGGTCCTGGGATCGAGCCCCGCATCCGGCTCCCTGCTCAGTGGGAAGCCTGCTTCTCCCTCTCCCACTCCTCCCCCTGCTTGTGTTCCCTCTCTCGCTGTATCTCTCTCTGTCAAATAAATAAATAAAATCTTTAAAAAAATAAAAGGAGGAAACATTGGAGTTTTCCTGGAGCCTTTATAAGTGGTGGCCTTTCCTACAGGTGATGGGAGTAAATGGATAAGAGCAGTGATGTTCCCCAGTGGGGCCAAGTGCCATCTTGGTAAAGGTACCAGGGGGCTTTGTTGGGGTCATGAAGGTGCAGCCAGTGATAAGTTCAGGGCATAATCCTGCAGACAGTTTTGCTGGGTCGGATACCGGCTTTGGCTTGCACATCAAACCATGACGTGGTGGTTGCAGGAAATACACAGGATGGGGTCAAAGCTTTTGAGGCAGCGGCTCCGGGCCAGCTAATAACTCAGGACATGTCCACCAAAGTAAGTTTTTTTGGTCAGCAAAACTGGTAACTAATGGTGGATCTTAAGGGAGTGGGGGGACTTGGGAGTCCTATTTATGGGATACTACAGGCCAAGCCTTGTGCAGAGATGGACAGTTAGCCAAGTGAGCTTCATAGCGTTAAGTTGGAAACAGGTGGTTTTGTGCTTGTAGCCACTTATTTCAGTCTGGATAGGCAGTTGTAGTTTAGACCACAAGGTGGCAGCCGACAGCAACTCCAAATGAGCACTTCCATTTAGTTTTGAGAGATGAACTTTGTATTCTGAACCACCAATAAGTAGAAGCTTGCTTTGGCAGAAAGAGGTGGTGTTTGGGGAAGCTGTTTCAGTGCGGCCTTGGCTGCCTTGCCAAAGATGGCTTTTTATCCAATTTTTCTGCTGGCTCAAGTGATGTCAAGTGGTTTGCCCGTGTTCACACGCCTTGTGATTGTTTAACCTGGATTCCACTGTGAAATGTTAGTAGCTCCCGGCCTTTCTGTTTCCCACCAAAGCCAGTGAGCAAGCAGATGGGTTTCCTCTGTAGCCTTGCTGATTTTCTGGCCCTTTTTGTCACTTTTTTGGCTAGGGGTCCTTGCCAACCCCTTCCCTCGTGACTTAAAATTAGTTCCAGGATGTATTCTCCAAGATCACCCAAGGACTCTGGGAAAACCCAAGGAATATACAAGGTAGAGTCACAGCCCGTGGATAAAAAGCCAATGGAGGCGGCTCTTCTGCTGGCCAGCCTCCTCCCCCTACCTTGGTAGACTGAATACCACTGACAGTCAATAATCATGGATTAGCTGTTCAGGGATCAGTGCTAATAAGTGCTCTAGGAAACAAGCCTCAAGATTCACCTTAAAAGACTTCACAGTCTATTTAGGAAAACAAAACCAAAGCTAAAGTGAGTTCAAGCCCCATGTTGGGTGCAGAGCTTAATTTCTAAAAAAAAGTCTATATGCCAAATACTATGTAGGTGGTAAATGGTTAAGTCTAGAGTGAATTCTAAGTGCAGGGCAGGAGGGATGAATGATAGCTGAAATGACCCAGAGGGGGTTTTGTGGAGCAGGGGAAGGGTGAGACCATTTGGGGCACCTTGATGCTTTCTATGCTTTATTGGAAAATCAGAATATAAGATGGTGTCAGGTTAGGAAACTCATGTCAAAAAATAGTTTTGGGTAAAAACGGACGTTGACTATTACAAATGCCTAGGAAAGTCACCTGGGTGGCCGGTTACAAGGGGCAGGGAGAGGCCTGCACGAGTACAGCCTTCAATGGGTGAAAGCTTTGGGGCAATTTTGCCCATCTTCCAGGGTCAGTTTCCATCACGGCTTCACATCTGCCCACCAGCCCGGAAGCTAACCAGCTAAGCCCCACTACTACTACCACCACCATCAAAGGTTCCAAAGGATTTGTAAAGGATTTTTTTTTTTTTAGATTTTTTTTATTAATTTATTTGAGAGAGAAAGAGAGCATGAGACGGGGGAGGGTCAGAGGGAGAAGCAGACTCCCTGCCGAGCAGGGAGCCCGATGCGGGACTCGATCCTGGGACTCCAGGATCATGACCTGAGCCGAAGGCAGTCGCTTAACCAACTGAGCCACCCAGGCGCCCCTGTAAGGGATTTTAGAAGCTGACAGCTAAAGATATATTTCCCTAATAACACAGACTTTCTGATACACAAACCCTCTTTCCCTGAAACATAGTCCCACTATAGGTAGTACCAATAAGCATCTGTAAGTCTGTGATTCTCTAAAAGTCCTAACTGTAGATCTTTAAGAAGCAGCTACCATAGGGGCGCCTGGGTGGCTCAGTCGTTGAGCGTCTGCCTTCGGCTCAGGTCATGATCCCGGGGTCCTGGGATCGAGCCCCGCATCGGGCTCCCTGCTCTGCGGGAAGCCTGCTTCTCCCTCTCCCACTCCCCCTCCTTGTGTTCCCTCTCTCGCTGTTGCTCTCTCTGTGTCAAATAAATAAAATCTTTAAAAAAAAAAAAAAAAAAAGAAGCAGCTACCATAGGCCTATGTTAGGTGCTGGGAGACAAAGATGTGTTTGAGAAGGACGCATCCTCTAGCCCTGAACACATGAGGGCCCACTGGGACACTCCTTACACAGGTTCCTGGCCCGGACCTCTAGCACAGCAGCATGGGCCCATAGTGGCTAGGATTCCCCATCCCTACCCTTGTTTCCAGAAGCCAGGCCTGCTGAGAACTAAAAGGCCCGCTTATGCTCAAACTATTCTCCAAAGTGTGGGAATATAGCCAGTAGCAGCCCCACAGCATTATGTGGGGTCATGGGCTCCTACCACTGCTTTAATGCTGACCCCTTAGAATGGATTGATCCTTTCACTTCCTGGATGTTGGAGAAAGATGGGAGAAAGGAGTCTTGTTGATAGACTGATGAGGACAATCGTTTCAAAGCCCGCGGGTGAGGGAGATCCTGGTTTGGTCACTGTCTTGGGGACAGGTTTGTCTATTTCCAATGAGTGAAGGACTCTCGGCTCTCAGAAGAAGTATCAATGACTTGGGTGAGGGAGGGCCGTTTTTTGTTAGGCTGTCAGGACAAGGACGTGGTCTTAGGATGCTATAGAAGGAAGCTGGTGATCTACTGGCAAGTCGATGACTGGGCCGGGTGTGGGAGCGGAAGTGTAACAGATCTTCCTGCTTCAGTCTTCCCTCCTTGCTGTGCCTCAGGCAGCCGATAACTTTCCCAGAACCACCACAATCCCTTCCTAAGAGGTTCCCTGCCCCCAGCTTTGCCCTGCCAGGGTTATTTTTTGGAAACACAAATGTGAACAAGATATTCCCCAGCTTGGGGCGCCTGGGTGGCTCAGTTGTTAAGCGTCTGCTTTCGGCTCAGGTCATGATCCCAGGGTCCTGGGATCGAGCCCCGCATTGGGCTCACTGCTCCGTGGGAAGCCTGCTTCTCTCTCTCCCACCCCCTCTGCCTGTGTTCCCTCTCGAGCTGTGTCAATCTCTGTCAAATAAACAATTAAAAAAATCTTAAAAAAAAAAAGATATTCCCCAGCTTAAAATCTTTCAAAAGCTCCATGTTGCCTTCTAGAGTCTTCTAGAATCTAAACGAATGCCAAACTCCTTGCATGGCCTGACAGGTCCATCAAAACTTCACATCTGCCTACCAACACAAGGCTCCAAATTCCAGAACCCAGCTAACCTAGCTTGCTCTCTTTCTCAGCTCTTTGCATGTGGTGGTCCATTTACTGGGAAACTCTCCCACCCCAACCGACTCAGGGCTCTTGTTCATTCTTCATTCCTCAGATTAAGTATCATCTCTAAGAAGCCTTTCCTGACAAAGGTCACTCCTACTTCAACATCAAGTTAGGTGTCTTGTTAGTGCCTGCAGCATCTCTCAGCTTGAGCAGGCTGTGTTGGAACTGCTTGAACTTTTGCTCATCTCCTCTGTGACACTGAGCCTTGCTTTAGGGGCCTAGCTCAGTGCCTCCTCTGCAGTAGCTCCTCTGTAATTATTAACTGCATGAATGATGTTCTTCGAGAGTTGTCTCTGAGATGCTCTCCCCTTGTGTGGAAAGAACACTTGTAAAATTTTTTAAAAAATCTCTGCAAGCCTAAATTGGGAGTATAAAAGTAACTGAAACACATCCTTACTACAGAGTTTCTCCAGAATTAGGGAAAGCAGACCTAGAAATATATACTAAATGGTAAGTGGCCTAGTTGTATTGGTGGCTTTCAGGGAGGAGGGAGCAAACGCTCTCCTGGGGAAGGCTAGTGGGTCTTCTGTGATCAGTGTGTCACCATGAGCATCTGAAGTAAACCTTACAGTTTGGAACAGCATGAAGCAATAATGG